TCCATCTACAATAAATAATATTGACACATGATTCGATATGTTTAGTACTTTTTGTTCATCTAACAAAGAAATAATCTCTTCACTTTTAAATTATAAGATTTTTCCCATTTACATATCATCCTTTTTGCTTTTTATATTATACAACTTCTATTTCTTAATGTGAGAAACTTGTTTCATAAATACGTATTTATATTAATATCGATTACAATTATCATTAAATAATTATCAGCACTGACACGACTAGTAAATGACTGATCTGACTCTCTTAATATGGACACTAGAATAATATCATACTAAACGGAGTGAACACTAATATTGCTGCTTCAATAACTATCGAGTCATTTGAATTTGTTCGTAATTTATCTAATGTCAAAAAAGTTACCATTAAGTTTATTATGTTAAGTGGTATTCTGCCTTTATGCTCTTCTAATAAAGAATTTCAAGTAATGACGATGACAAGAGCGGTGATGATAATGATTATGATAATGACGATGATGAGCAACGATGACGATGATGATGACGATGATCATGATACTTTCGATAGAAAAAACAATACGCTAATAGCGAAAGAAGTAACGATTCGAATAATCTTCATAATGATAACGAAAACAGTAATAATAACGGTAGTATAATTAATACCTTATTATAATAAAAATAATGATATTCATATTAATAATAACAGTAACAACAACCAGTCACACATGCGACCAGATCACTGGGACTATCATTAAAATCGAGATACTGTTTGACTGTGGAGAACATTTGTTTTAACATCAACTGTAGCGCAGGCTTGAGCACACATCATTCTTTAATAACTGGCAGCTTCTCTTTTTGTTTTTTTTTAAATAGTATTTGCAAAGTAAAAATTGTCTCAAATACAAAATAAAAAGTAAAAGAAACTGTTTTATTAGACAGCCAAATAATGAATCGAATTATTTAATTAATATGCTCAAGCCTGCTCCAACATTCCACAAACTTTTGGATCATATGATGATACTCTGGCAAACGTTCTTTTTTTCTTTTTATCACACGCTGATAAATAAATTTCTGCTTATTAACAATCCGTTAATAAATAAATTGCTTCTCTGTAGAAAAATCCTTCTACTTCTCTGCAGAAGTGATGCACTCTCGTGTGTGCACAATTTCGTTTTCCCCTAAACTATAATAGGCGATAGACCGTACCAAATGTATAAAATAAAAAAAAAGAAGACATCTCCACAGGATTCTAATCGAAACTAGATTCTCCACAAAAAAACATTCAATAGAAAAGAACCGTGAACATGTAATTGCTTCATTTGTCTCTCTTTCTCGCACACATTCTGATTTTCTGTTTCTTTAGTGCTGAAAGAACAAGGGGGAGATCAAAAAGCAGAAGAATTGGGGGGGGGGATAAAAAATGTGTGTGTTTTGTCAAAAGGAGAGAGAGAATACTCATGGAGAACGATCTTGCAACTAAGATCAGCGAGCAAACAACCCACCAGAATGATCAGCAGTTGTGTACTCCGTGAGCAGAGGTGATCCTGCCAGGGCTGCATAGTTGGCGTAGTCAGCATATGGTGTGTAGATCAATCCATGGGGGTCACCAGCCGAGAGAAGGGAACCCGGTGGACCCGAACCGTTCAGAAGAGAGGCTGCAGTCGTTGGCACCGATATCCGTGGTGACAGGATTAATGGTGCACCCAGTGGTGCACTTGGTGTCCTCATCGGAGTGGCCAAACCGGGCAGAAGCCGCTGCGTTTCTGCTGCAGCGGCGGCAACACGTCTCCATTCCTCGTCGCAGGCTGAAACGTTCAATAGGTCTACCCCTAAATTATACCATTGTCAAGATTCAGCCTCCTAATTAAATCCTAACAATCGCTGCATGATCAAATTAAAAGTAGAGTCTCAATTTAGAACGTTAACACAACAAAGTGATTTTAGGGGTATTTTATTTAAGGAACTGTGAACTTGTTTTCTTTGAAATATTTAGGATAGTCTGTCCCGTGTTTAAGAAGTATCCACTAATTTTTTTATCGATGAATACGTAGAACAAAAGAGGCCTCATCGCTGCTGTAACTTTAGGGACGTATACTTCTAGATATGTACCTGTAACAGCAGCCACTTTCGTGTTGGAATCCCGGTAGGTACCGTTTATGATTGCAAGCTCCATCAACTGTCGCTTCTTCAGTTCATCCTCCCCATCAGCCTGCTAACAATCAACATGATTGGTAAGAAATACATATGATGCTGACTGTGTAAACCTTTTTCAACTACAAAAGCTACTACTTTGTCTAAATTTGTTCTTCTATAAAGTTGTTATTTAAAGTCTCCAATTGTCGAGCATTTTATTATTAATAGATTAATCAATGTTTACAGGTGACTGATTGTTTAAGCTATTTTAAATCAGCAATTCAAGTAACAATAATTGCGAAGGGGAGTGTTAGTGATAAAAGAAAAAAAAAACAGGAGACACAATTTGCATTGGACATCGGAATTCTGAGAGAAGCGTAGAACGATACTGCAAATTGGTTATAGTATTTAATAATAGGAACTTTCTCACCACGGGAACAAGGAGTTTCTTGACTTCCTCCACAGCTCTGGCAAGTTTTAATGTGGCACGATTTTCAGTATCATCGACTGTTAATAAAACATGCAGTTCATCCGTTAGGTGCTCCCAGTTTGGTTTACCTCGGTTTAACTCCTCCTAGTGAATCAATACAAACGAATTAGTATCATACATTACACATACAGTCTCAAAAAAATGATTTAATAAAGTTGTTTATCATAGTGCGAGAGTGTCTAACATTTCTCCTACTTAAAAGAAAAATATGGAAAATATACAACGACAACATTTTCTGGGGACTAAATTCGATTGCACACAGAAGCGAGCACAATCCTTTTTCTACGCTTGTCCACAGAAATAACTATTGTAACTTTTCTTTTTCTCATATATGTACTTACGATAAAATTTTCTTTCTTTCGTCATACGCAGCTTGAAAAAGAACAGGGAAGAATCAAAATAGATGAAAATATTATGGAATCTACCAAGAAAAGGTATCATCTGATACATGCTTTTCTTTCTCTCAAGAATATATAAGTCCGCCAGAGGCTTCTCAAAATAATTCTTGACCGCCTATTTACCGAGCTTTTTGTGGCTTGCAATTCAATGTGTAACTCAACATATATGTTTCCCGACGTGCAGCTTGTTGAAACAAAAAACCGACCCCCACAGCTTGCACTCTCGCTTCTCTAAAAATACCCTGGACCATCAATTCCAGATGGATTGTAATCGCTATGAATCTCCGAGGAACAAGGATCTATTCCCATGAAAAAAAAACGGTGAAAATAAAGCCGACTATTTTACAATTTTCAAAAATCCCTTAACCCTTGGAGGTGGAACGACTCCACAGAAATTATTACCAAGACCCAAACACGTTGCAGAAAAAATTCTCTACGAAACAGATTCGTAGCCAGTTCGCTGGCTTTACACAGAGAGGACGATCTTACTTCTACAATAAATTTAAACGCTCCCGATCAATTTAGGCTCTTTCTAGATATCTCAGGCAATCGTCGTATCCTCGACGAAGGTGGGGTTTTACCTTCTTCTTGTCCCTCATGGATCCTTTACCCCGCACCATAATCTTGCATCCTGTCTCTTGTTCTAATTGCTTAGCTGTCATCCCGCGTGGTCCAAGAATTCTCCCGACGAAGTTAAACTGCAAAACATAATCATCGACAGCTGTACTTCTGTTACTACAGCAGTACGACCAGGGAATCATGTACCGAAACGTGTATGAAACTTACGTCTGGGTGTTCTTTAACAGGTACATAAACTTTCTCTGTCAACGTTGTGATCTCGCCCTCCGGTTCCGGCAAAACCAGCGGTTCTTTCTTGACGCCGCTGATTTGAAATAGACTCGCCCGCACCTTTGCGATTTCTGCAACAAAAAGAACCCGACGGAAATTCTATAGTCGAGACAGTTGTTGACGGGAGTCGGCAAGAATTCGGAGAGAGAGAGAGAGAGAGAGAGAGAGAGAAGAGCGAACGAAAAATATGTTACAATTTCGGAACGGTGAATCGTACAACAATAAACCATGTCCTGGTTTCTTGTCGAACCTTTCCGTTTCGCAGAAAATGGCAGCGATGTGGGAACGGAGCCATGGTTCAAGTGCTTGGCATAGTCGAAGTATACTTCCGGCAGTCGAAGACGCCGATTCCTGTTCGCCTGACTTTCTAAACCCTCGCGATTTTTACGACCTTCTGCGCCCGAGCAACCTGACGAGATATTATTATTTAGCCTGCGAAATCGCATTTTACGTTCGTTTCCACCGAGATGCTTTTTCCCGTTTTCAAAGGATATCGTCGTTCCGCCGCGCGGACTTTTAGAAAATCGCGTAAGCGCCGCAATCGAATCATGAATTAATGGAACGCGCGCTCGAAACAAGCCAAACTGGTCTAGAAATCTTGTTTACACTGATCACGGGCTGCTCGAACTCCGGCGGCTGCTGCTCGATCCGCCAGTATTATTATTAATCTAACGCGCGGAGACTGGCGCTTCTGTAAAGTCCGTTTAAAAATCCATCCACAGTTTTTTATTTCCAAAGAAGAAACAAACCGGTGTCCTTAAAGGAGCTCTATTGTCCCGCCGATGATCCCGCGAGAGAAAAGAGAGAAGAGGAACGCGCGCGAGCGGAAAGAACACAGCCTCATGTCCAGTTTTAGCAACATTGCTCATTATGGCTGACATCAGCCGCCTCCTTGCGTTCCTCGCTTTCTTGAATCGTTTCTCGTCGGCACCGCGCGCGTCGCTTTTATTTCTACTTCGAACCCGTTATCGACACCATTTATTCTACACATTTATAAATATAATCGTTTGCGCTCTGCAAATAAACGAGGATAACCGACGGCGAATTACGATTGGTAAACCGTTTCGAGCATCTAGGATGCATCGGTTAAAGAAATCACTGGCATTCCTTGGCGACCGAACCAATTTATGAATCACGGTTCCACGAATCATTTCAATCTCGCAGTTTTTAACACACTGATCATCACTCTGCTAATGTTTACAACGCGACACCCTGACGCTTCGAATCACCGTTTACAACGTATTAAGAATCGTCGTCTTTTATAGTTTCTATAAAAAAGAAAGAATAACTAAATAAACAATTTAATCACGTCGCTCGAATTTTCTTTGGAAATCTGTTCTCTACGTTCGAACCAATCGAAATAATCGATCGAATTAATTGTTCGAAAAAAAACGAGGTTATATTTACTAATATTTAGGTTATGTCGAATGCATAATGCATCGTTCGAATCCTTTGGAAATCAGTTCTCTACGTTCGAACCAATCGAAATAATCGATTGAATTGTTTGAAAAAGAACGAGGTTATATTCACTAATATTTAGGTTACGTCAACGTTTTATAATACCAAGATATTTCTCTGAGATTGTAATTGGAAAAAGATCGCGAAAAACGGGAAAATAAAATGCAATTGATTGATCGTTCGAATAACCGAGATTCTGTAGGACACGCGTCGACAATCGATCGAATTAATCCTGTCTCTTATACACATCTTCTGAGATTGTAATTGGAAAAAGATCGCGAAAAACGGGAAAATAAAATGCAATTGATTGATCGTTCGAATAACCGAGATTCTGTAGGACACGCGTCGACAATCGATCGAATTAATCCTGTCTCTTATACACATCTTCTGAGATTGTAATTGGAAAAAGATCGCGAAAAACGGGAAAATAAAATGCAATTGATTGATCGTTCGAATAACCGAGATTCTGTAGGACACGCGTCGACAATCGATCGAATTAATCGTTTGAAAAAGAACGAGGTTATATTTACTAATATTTAGGTTATATCAAGGTTATAATACCAAGATATTTCTCTGAAATTGTAATTGGAAAAAGATCGCGAAAAACGGGAAAATAAAATGCAATTGATTGATCGTTCGAATAACCGAGATCCTGTAGGACACGCGTCGATTAATTTAAATAAAGCATGCAGCAACAGCAGCAGCAGCCTGGGAGCACCCCGGCGAGCAAAAACACAGGCGGAGTAAGATGAAATGCCAGCTAAGGATCTATGGTGTAAAAAGCTGGCTTATGTCGCAACGGTATACATAGATCTATCTAAGCATGGGCAATGATGTTGGATCGGTTGGTATAGGTGCAGCATTTATGACATCATCGCTGTCGTAATCACGAAGACTACAATCCGTGACATAGATCACGTGCTCGAAGAAAGAGATTTTATTCTTGGGAGGCGCGGACACGCCGAGACTCGACTCGGCTCCGACTCGGCTCCGACTCGGCTCCGACTCGAAAATCCGACGACCCAGTCTCCCTTTTTTTTCAACCGACCTTCTAAATCTACCATTCAATTAGCCGTTCGTTAATGACATTCGACAAATGATCTCACCGAGAACTCTCCTGAAAACGGCGCAATTTAAAGTAGCTCTTTTTTTCCAGACGTCTGCCGCACATTACGAAATACAATCTGAATAATCTATCATCGCGCCTGTGACGCGATTGAACTGCGCTCGATGTGTTATGCAGATGCGGCTAAGTTTTACATGCTTTTACGATTTTTAATCGCGACGAGCGGTTACGGTAAAAGATAAAAAGAAAAGAGAAACGCAGAAGCAAGAAACAAGCAACACGGACGGCTTTTTAAACAACATTGTTCCCAGAATTTTCTTCGAATTGATTGCTCCAAGCACAGCGATAATTGAACTAATTAGCTGAATCGATGGAAATTAGAATGAGACAGAAACGAACGACCCTCTCTCGTCCCAAGGAAACGATTACAAATTCTTGTGTCTCGCGCGATGGAAAAAATCGAGAATGGAAAAATATATATATATATATATATGTACGTATAGTTTGAAGTACGCGGGCGAGTATGTAAATTCGTGTACAGGAATATAAGCGTGTGTCGGTTTCAGGAGGCTGCTGTTTAATCGAATACGGCATAAATTGACGTTATAGCTCGGTCGGCCACGCCTCTTAAGCAATTCAAAACTTATTTTCACGCAGTGAGTCACACGGATATATTTATAAAGCGGTGCCCAAGAAATTTAATACTAACGTTAAATTGTGTCTACTAAAATCTGTGTTACACACGGTTCCACCGATACGACAGTCAAAAATAGCGAGAAATTGGAACGTTCTACAGCGAAACATTTTTCAAGCGCCGCGCGCCGCGCCGTTTCGCGAGAATAAAATCTCAGAGAACGTAAAACTCTGCCGGCCCCACGATCCACAGTCTTTCCACAGATCGGACGCACCATCTATCGAGACACACGTTCGTACAATGAATTCGCAATCTCGAATATTTTTACAGGAATCACATAACTGCACGACACATCGGAATTTCCACGCTCGCGTAACACTGTCGAAGAAGAGATCGCACTCGAAATTCCGAAACACACGAGCAGTTCAACGTCCGCGACACAACTGAACCGTAAATCGCTTTATCTACGTCTCGTCGATCCATTTTCCAGATAAAATGACCCTCCCCCGCCCCTCCGGGTCGCCCGTGTTTACAAACGAAATCGCCCAGCCTAGCCAACGCGCTGCCTGCGTAAATTCTCGTCGAATCGACCGTTCGTAACGCGGCCGAAAAAAATCGTAGCACCTTCGGACCGGGCTTGTTTCGAAGGGCGTAGTTTCTACTTTTATCTGCGTCACACGTTATTTCGCGTCGCCGCGTCCGTCGTCGCTCGGCGGACGAAAGAGCGTGGGCGGTTTCTCGTCTCGACGTTCTCGCAGCCGACGGAATTCGAACGGCCACGGAAGCTTCGAGAAATTTTTTTGAAGATCGAAACCTACGTCGTTTCGAAGGGCGAAGTTTCTACTTTTATCTACGTCATACGTTATTTCGCCGCGTCGCGTCTCGTCGTCGCTCGGCGGACGAGAGAGCGTGGGCGGTTTCTCGTCTCGACGTTCTCGCAGCGGCGGAATTCGAGCGGCCGCGAAAGCTTCGGGAAATTTTTCTCGAGATCGAAACCTACGTCGTTTCGAAGCCGGAAGCTCGCCCTGTGCGTAGACTCCGCGACGATTGCGCCACGATTTTTTCTCTCGTCTCGATTCGTCACGGTTCGAAGGGCGAGGGGTGACCGCGCGCCGAGAGGGCGTCGCTTGAATCGCATCGAGCCGCTGTTTACGGCGATTATTGCGATTCGAAACGATCATTTCGCATAAAAGTTCGCGGTGCGATCATCGTCGCGTTTAAGATCGGACGACGTCACCCCGGCGTCGCGCGACTGTTGTTGGTTAGCCTCGGTCGCGAGCCTAATTCGTCATGTTCCTCGGCGCGTATCTCTCTCGATCCCGCGATAAACTTTTCCGTCATACTTTCTAGCTCGTGCTTGCTCAGGGATAAACAAATGTTGGAACGGTCTCGAGTTGAACGGTGCCGAGTTTTGCGACGCTGCCAATGATCTTCTTCTTCTTCTTCTTCTTCTTCTTCTTCTTCTTCTTCTTCTTCTGACTCACTGTATATTTCGGAAAGTATGTGTGCTGAGGAAACTGGTGGACGATCGAACGGGAACGCGAGCCACCCCCGGCCCTAATTAGACCGCGGATTTTTTTGCCAGCAAGATTAGGACACACCTCGCCAACAGGATTAACTAACCCCTTAACCCTTTGCACTCGAAGCCATTTCAACTGTAAATCTGTAAATGATTTTTCCGACCTACGCTGTCTTTATTTTATACGACAGAGCGCACTTTATGCGTGTGAAATTGGGTCTTGCGACTTATACAACAATTATACTTTTAACAATTTTTCAAATCTAAATTTTCTTGATGTATAAGAATTATTTTGTAATGTGACGTAAACATCTTTTAGTGGTGCCTCGGAGTCACCAGTCGAGCGCAAAGGGTTAACTTGTACGCTCGAGTTAATTCGAGCGCGCTAAACAGC